TAGACCCCACCGCATCACCCCTCTCAAAACACACAGAATATCCCATCAGAGTGCAACACCAGCCGAAAGGCCACTAGACTGTAACCAAATAAATAACAAACCACACATCCCATCACCGCAGAATCTAAAATGCCATTAAATAACCCCAGAAAAAAAGTCAAAAACCCCCGAAATTCGACTTTGTCCTCTCCTAGCCATAACTTCATTGCTAAAGGTAAGGAAAATATGCCCCTAAATCATACCAACAAAAACAGTGGCAGCTTAAATAAGCCCACACTCCCCACGGTCAATAGTATTAGCACCCACAACGTGCTAAATCGCACCGTGGCACACACTAATATCCAATGTCACAACAATGTCACCCTCAATAGTACAAGTGGTAATAGTCAGAACTCGGCTATCAACAACTCAGGGTCTTCAGAGTATGGCACACAAACAAATTTTGACCGGATATATGGTACAAGTCTGCTGGGAACTAACCCACAATGCAGTACACACGAAACCCACACAAGGACACAACTAGCATCAAACAATAGGTGGAATAATAAGCCATGGTCATCACAAGGATCCAATCATTTTTTATCCCCCGCGTCCCTGTCAGCGTTGAAAAACAGCTGGTAGGGATGTTAACACTCCTAAACCACTAGTGCTGGCTCCCTCCTTGCATGAAAACAGGAACGGTCTAGTGCACCCGTATCCATTAGGCACACTTGACACCTGCACAAATATAGGTCAAATAAAGAACCCTACCCACTTCTGTAACCTAACTAAAAATAAAAATTCCTTGGTCTATAGCAAATCCAGTACTCCAACTCCTAATTCTCCACCGAAAACAGCACACACCAACTCGATAGACATAGGTGAGCATGATGCTGGAACTCCTCTTAACATAGGATTTTCGTCATTTTTTTTTTTTTTTTTTTTTTTTTTTTTTTTTTTTTTTTTTTTGTCAAGCAGAACTACTGGGTGCTGAACCATATTCGGGGCTGACTAACGAACTTAAATACTTCAAATGCTACTTCAACTCTCATCTTTACCTAATCCTCATAAATGCTAGATCTGTTCTAAATAAATTGCCGATGCTCAGAGCACTCACAGTAATATACAAACCCCCTGTAATTGTCATCACTGAATCTTGGTGTCATTCGAACATCTTGGATGAAGAAATAAGCTTAGATAACTACACACACTTTCGGTGTGACAGGGAAGGTGGTAAGGGAGGGGGTTGTCTCATGTACTTTCTGAATGCACTTACTGTATCACAGCTAGAAAGTAGTACACTTAACATGCCTGAGACTCTATGGGTTAATGTACACTTAAATAACGTAACAGCATTAATTGGATGCACCTACAGAGCACCTGGCACCTTTAGTAATTACGAGACCCAACTTATTAATACTCTGGAGCAATTATCCGACTTACAATACGATCATAAGATCCTATGTGGGGACTTTAACTTACCTGAAATCAACTGGGATATACCCACAGGCCCAACTAAATTTGATAAGTTCTTAGACACACTGGATATACTTGGCTGGAAACAAACTGTCACTACTCCCACAAGAGGTAACAACGTACTAGACTTAATCTTCTGCCACAATATAAGCCCCCTTTCAACGCTAGTAGGTTCTGAGTTTCCAGGGAGCGACCACAAAACAGTGATGTGTGCACTGCCAATTCCGCTGAGTAGCAATGCATCTCATACCTCCACTTCACAACAAGTAATATATAGGAACTATAGTAAGGCAAACTGGGCCTTGGTAGAATCAATGCTAAGATCCTCCGAATGGGATGAATACTTCACTACTGATGACCTCTCGAGAGCCCTAACCATCTTCTACCATAACTCAAACATATGCTTAGATGCTGTCATTCCACTCCAAACACTAAAGGTTTCCCCACACAGAAAGTCATTCATAAAACCAAAGGATCGTATGAAACTGAAGAAACTCTCAACAAGTTACTTCAAACACCACGACTTTGGCACTCTAGGTCTAATACTTAACACCCTTAGCTCCATCTCACAAGCTCGAGATTTCCGTATGAGAAAGGAAGAACGCATCGCAGTAGCCAGTCCTGCTAGAGTGTATGCACTCACAGAAATCTTAAGGAAGCGAATGAATCGCAAAAATCACAGCATTTCTCTCCTCATAGACAAAGGTAGGCTATGCACTAACTCTGCAGACATATGTGAACTATTCAACAAAACGTTTGCAGGTAACTACATTAAGCCCTCAGTCCAGCTACTCGATATACACCCTATTAATAATCTGGCACAAACACCATCTCCACTCACACCAAACCAAATTAGCACTGTTCAATTCACTTACGCTAATATTAACCAAACTATAAGAACCCTCAAAAGTTCAAAAGGTTTCGGTACCGACGGTATATCATCTTACTTCTATAAATATGGTGGCCCTGACATTCCTCTACTGCTGCTTAAAATATTCACAATGTCCCTAGAAACTCAAACTTACCCTGACATATGGAAGACTACATTCATTATGCCTAAACACAAATCTGGCTCGAAAACTGAAGTCAGTAACTACCGGCCGATCAATATCACACCTATAGCATCTAGAATCATGGAGAGACTAGTCAAAGATAACTTAATCAAACATATGCTTAGCTGCAACATCATAAGTCCGAACCAACATGGATTCCTGAAATCCAGATCATGTTTAACATGTCACCTAGACTTCTTCAATTTTGTAACCAGCAGTCGTGACAGACGGCAACTAGTACTTGTCATCTACTTTGACATTTCTAAGGCATTTGACCGTGTTGACCATTTACTGCTAACAAATAAGCTGAACTCCTTAGGAATACGTGACCCATTATTAGGATGGCTTAAATCATTCCTTAACAATAGGTCCCAAATAGTTAAACTCGGGTCTGCAACCTCCAAACCTAGCCCTATCACTTCTGGTGTAGTACAAGGTAGTGTCATTGGACCCCTCCTATTTACACTATACATCAATGACATATGCGCTTGCTTCACGCACGGGAAACCATTCATCTTTGCAGATGACCTAAAAGTAGCTTATACATTCCAAAGTGATGACTTAGGGAACTTCGAGAATGTAGTGCAGAAGGAATTAGATAAAATGACTGCTTGGTCGTCCCTATGGAATCTCCAATTCAATCTGAACAAATGTGGCTGGATCTGCTTTGGCGCACCCTCAATTGACCTGAAATTAACGCTCCAATCTGCTAACCTAACAAGACTCCGAAGTGTCGTTGACCTAGGCCTTAGGTACTCTAGTGACTTGACATTCTCTGAGCAAGTAGCATCACAGACTAGAAAATCGAGGATGCTCTTAGGATGCATACTCAGGAACTTTCACGACAATGAAGCCAAGCTAATTCTGTACAAAACATGTGTCAGACCACTACTAGAATACTGTCCATTTATTATAAGCAGCACTCGCACACGTGACAAGCTAAGGATGGAAAGTATCCAACGATATTTTACCTCAAAACTACTTGGCTATGATTGTAAGAAAGACTACATCTCACGGTGTATGATCCTAAAACTTGACCCACTTTGGACAAGGCGACTTATTATAAACCTAATATTCTTCTTTAAGGTCCTTCACAAAATATCATTCTCAGGTAACAGGGACATACAATTCGCACAGGAAGGTTCTTACGATCTGCGTAACCAAACTTCCACAGTGACAACTCATTCTTTTAGGTCAACACTCCGTGAAAACTTCTTCACAGTCATGTATTCTAAAATATGGAATAGCCTACCCCTAGATGTCAGAACTTGCTCTTCGGTTACAAGCTTCAAACGCTCTCTATACAGACTGTTTCACTCTACTGATTATATTAATAAACTATTTACTCCTAGAACGAATCAATCACTAATCTACTACAGCACCTAAAAGACGCACTTCAACACCCTTAGCAATCTTTAAACTATAAATAAACTAGCAGCATGGATGCATAAAGACAGTACGGAACATACAGGATTAGTTTACCCTTAGAAATAGGACGTGTCACTTTATTGTAACCTTCAAACGCTTGCTATATAAACTGTTTTATTCCAATGACTACCCCTACCAGAAACCATTAATTACTTCTAAAACGCATCAGTCATTAGAACACTAAAACGCTCAGACTCATTAATACACATTATGACACTAAATAAACTCTAAGACTTCGCATAAATAAAGTGAAAAGACAACTATAATTAAAAGTAATTTTTTACTTATATGTTATAAAATTGACATAAACATTTACATATATAGATTAATATCCTTTTAATGTTCACATACTTTCTCTTTCTGGTATTCTGCTGCTCTTACTCATCTTCTGGTCGAGGTCGAACAACCCTGCATCTAAACTGAAATGAGGATCAATTCCAAACCATCTATATCATAACCACTCAAATTCCATGAACGATCCAAATCTACCATTTGAAG